AGCAGACAACACGTCCAGCTGCTCTTCAAAAGAAGCACGTCTGCCACAAAATTATTTGCACTATCCAATTTCATGCCGAGCATGTCGTGAGTAGTTTTTCAGACAACAGCGGTATTCGGTGAGATTGCAGCCTGTTACCTGTAGCTCATAATGCAGCTTTCTGTCTTCTTTTAGGTAGAAAAGAAAAGAAAACAACAGAAAATATACATGAGAAATCTATTTCCTGCAGCTTTTCATCAACTCATTTGGTGTAAAACATTTACTGTGCATTATCCATCTATCAGGTGGGCTTTTTTTCTGTGCAACTTTTAGTTTACCCGTAAAACCATTGACCCCCTTCCGCTGCTTGCTTTCTCCCCCAGAGTTTGACATCACAGGTGCGTATTTATAGCCAGCAGATGGATTCTCCCATAACAGTATGCTTCAGTGCCTCCATCCCCTTCTGTTTAGCCTACCGCCGACCACTCAAATGAACTGGAAGAAATACCCTGTTTACATTATCTGCACTGATCTGTGAAGCCATCAGTTTGCGACTTCATCCATTATTCATGTGTTTCCCTGCAAACACGCACGCTTGCACGTTCAGGTGTGTAAGCAACAACAAGCACTCTCAAGTTAAACAAGCCTTCTGACTAAATACAAATAATATAGTTAAAAAATATTTGCGCGTGTCTTCCATATGTGCAATAAATGTTTCAAAGCTGCACCTAATTCACGTTTTTGCTGCAAAACAGACGGTTTAAAATAGCATTGGAGAGATGACGAGTAGTGCATGTAACTCATTTTGAACTGCATTGCTCATATCGTTATTTTTGTTGTCTCTGTGTTGCATGCATCATTTCCCCTGGTATATTTCATTACTTTTTCATGCTTTAAACAAGCATTGAATTGCACATATATGCCATTTTCATCACCACCCATCTTCGATCATCTTTTTGTCAGTTCTTATGGTTGTTTCTCTGTAAAAGTAAAATATCCCAGGAACCACTGGACCAATGTTAATAAAACTCCAAAAATGCCTTTCTTGGAAAAACATCTGTACATGTTGTACAATACAAATCAGCACTTTGAATTGAACTTAGAGATATGGCACTTACACATTATCGTTGGCACGGCCCCAAAAGGTACCGAACGGCACCGGAATTTGGTTTCACACACAGGTCAGATTTGCGTTTTCAGTGCTGAGGCAACTCTTTTTCTCAGACTTTTTCCCCGGAGGTCAGACTGGGACCGAGGCGACACTACGAACTGATTGGCTGGCTGAAATTACGCCTACCGCCTCCGATATACAGAGCCTAAGTCTACTTCCACACCATGCAATGCAAGTCCTAAAAACGCTATCTTCTAATCCGCTTTGGCCTACACTTGTATATGGATATGTTGTACTGCAATTTAAATGAAAAGTACTGATGGGTGTTTCGACCATGCCAGTCTCGTACTTTGAGATTTATTAGCTTGTAAAAGTTAGTAATTATCATGAATACACTCCAGAAATCGGCACGTTGCATATGTGACGTCACCACATAATCTCCTCTCCACTAACGTAGCTGCTACTTACCAAATGACCAAATTTATGGTGGTTCTTTCCCCCTGTGGGAAGTTTGCTGAACTTACAGCCATTTTCCCTCAATTTTCTCCATGTCTGGTTCGATGACATCACTTTCGTGAAGCACATTTGTGGTCCTGATCTTATTTTCACACAAAACATAAAATAGCGTTTCCCCCTGTTCGAAAATAAGCGCGTTCTTGGTATCAAAATGTATCTTTAAAATTCACGGACATCATATGTGAAATCCACAAAGGCACAAAACAAGCAGAATTAGAAAATAGCATTTTTAGCCCCATTGACTTGGCTCCCTATGCCAGAAGAATGAGCCAGCGGGGGTGGGGTTCCCGCATGCGCGATTGATTTTCATGCTGGATGCTGTTGCGTAAACTTCTGTCTGTAGCACGGAGCAGCTGTTCCAGAGCTGCCGATCAGTGTGGAAACGGGAGAAGAGAATAGCTCTGAGTGTGTGTGCGCGCCTGTTGTACGTATCGGAGCTCTTGCCCTGACAAGCAGACAGCTGCTCAGGGGAGAAATCTGTGTGTGTGTGTCTGTGGCACAAGATTATGAGAACACACACAGCAAATTAATTAAATAATGTGGTTCAGAGTGTCCAAAAGCAACACAGCTCATGTCCGCCTTTGTTTACCTTATAATGGAGGAAACGTCGTATTAAGCTCTGCCCACAATTTCCGCATTCCTGAGAAGTCCCTTGGATTTATATGTGAACACTACACCGCCTGTTCAAGACCAAACTCTTGCCGCCCAGCCCGACCAAACCCCGACCGTGCCGATGCTAATGTGTAAGCGCCAACACATATATAACACTATATATATCAATGAAGAACACATGCAGCCAAAAAGACCAAAAACACTAAAAATTTCCATATTCCAGACGTTAATATACTAACATTTGAAACAGTAATCCTCTCCCGCTTCGTTCACAATTATAGCAAGAACAAATATCACCTGTTTGACCCAAGGTGAATCTGGGGATAGCCTTAAGGATAGTAAGGATACACCAGATCCATCTTTGAAATTCGGGGAAAATTAACAAAGAAATTATGAGTATACTTTGAATTTGGACAGCCTTATCGCTTAGTGATGTAACCAGCCTTAAAATGCCTACTTAGAAGGATGCAGGCTCTGGTATTGGACGCAGTCAGACTCAGTTAGTTTTGCAGAAGCTGCCTTACTTAAGGTTGTCCTGAAGACAGATTCTGATCACTGCATATTGCTCACATCTTTTCTTAAAGGGCAAGTTCACTGAGAAAACATGTTTTTACTTATTATTTTTGATAATGAATGGTCACTCTGAGTTTTCACGCAGGCTGGACATGAAAAAGTCTCCTACACCTATTTCCTACATTATAGAAAATAGACAGTGAAACACTTGGTTAAGCAAATCCTGACAGATCTACGTCACACTGTCATTTAACATCTTGGCTCGCGGCGGGGAAGGCTGTTGTTGGTTTAGAGTCCAAGAAACTGCAGAGAACGTCTTGACTAGTAGAAGCTAACCATTAGCATTGGCAACTCCACCACGCAGCAGAACTCCTTCAGGCTTGTGTTATTTGTGAAGATAAAAACATTAACATTGCAGAGCAAACGGACTCAGTGGTAGAGTCGCGTTGCTGTTGGCCAATCAGAGAAGTCTGAAACTACTTTCTCCTCCAGCTGACTTCTATGTCCTGAAACAGGTGCACTAGAGCTTTTTTTCCCCAGAGATCGACTTACAGGGCACTCATTCCTACTGCCGCTGCAGGACCACTGCACATGTATTAAAAAGTGGAGTAAACTTGACCTTTGAAACTTATCTGTTGGAATTAATCCTATTCAGGTGTGCTGCAGCAGCTAATTAGCATAAGCCAAAAAATGTGTCCGTTCTACAAACATGTACATCCACAACACGCGGTTGCTTTAGAATTTAACAGCAAGCTGAATCGTACTCATCCATCCTGCACAGCCAAAAACAAATTTAAATAGCTTATTAACTCCCCTTTTCATTAGTAAGTTATATAATGGCTGCTACTGTGCAAATAAAATGTCTACAAAATCCACACCAAAGCTTCTTTTTCTTGTCGACAAAACAATAAAACTAACCTTGTGCTGCAGAATTAATTCTCGTGAGATATGGAGTTTTCCAAGAATCCTGAAATGTGTAGACTTGACACGGGGCGGGACTACACATAGGGATCTGGCTGCTGCCAGATTACAATAAAACATGTTTTTTTAATGGCTGCCCACTGGTTCACGTGCTGCCTCTAAAATCAAAGTTTGAGCAACTGCCTTGCAAACCCAAGCAGACTGGATCAGTTAACTCATTAACCTCATTAAATGGTTAATGTATTGAGACGCCAAAGCCACAGAAGCAAATTCTTCAAATTGTACTCTTGACAGGTACTTTTAAAGTTGTTTTTTAAAAATTTTTCTGAGAACAGAGTTGTTTCATTTGCATCTAAAGCATAAGTAACTGAATTATCTAATGGAGAAAGCCAACGGCAGGAGCAGATGATGATCCGAAGACTGTGTCAAGCTTTTTTAGGCCCAGTTTATTATAATTGTTATGGGGTTAGAATGAAATTAGGAAAATGGCAGCTGTGTCCGTGCCATATCATCATCAGATGTAATCCAGTTTGATCAAGCAAGCCTTTTGAAATGGACAGAACACTCTCAAGGGCTGAACTTTAACGGCACTGTTCCTACAGACAAATAAAGCACTGCCTGTAGTTGTCCCATGCATAATGTGAAACTAAAAAAATGCAAAGATAAAAAAAAGTTGACCACCTGGGTTATCAGGGAGCCAAGGATCGACTTTTATTTCCAGATATTCTCTTGTGAATGTCATTTCTTACAAGGTTTTATGTGACTGTGGGTCACGTGCTGTAAAAACAGCATTTATTCATCCATGTTTGCACACGTGCATTTAATTGCTACTTCAGTGGCTTCAAACATAAGGAAATCTACACATTTCTTTTCCCCCCAGAAGGCATGGGAAGCTTGATGCCAGCTAGTGTCAGGTCAGGAGTGAGGGAACAGCTGCACGCAGTGACTGTGCCAGGCAAAGCATGTCAGCAAACGGCAGTGCACACAAGAAGGAGCATTAAGAGACGTGTATGACAGCGGCGCTGTTGTGCTCTTTACTCCCAGGAATAATTAATGTATAGAACCATATGTGCAAATCAATTAGAGCTATTTTTAGCTACACGGTACACACGTTAGAACACACACACATTCAGCCTATAGCAGATGGGAGCTGTCATGGCTGCAAGGGTTTGTTTTCCTTCACAAATCTGCAGCTCAACTCTGGACTATCGCACTATAGTGTTTATGGGAGAAAATAAGATCCCTGTCTGTGTTAAACAAACCCATGCAACCTGAGGTGTCTTAATAGTGTCAACACTGTTGCTTTCATCCTTTTATTTATGCGTTGTTGTTTTTCTTCTTTTTTCAGGAAGCACAAAAGGTGAATAACCCTGCCAACAATCAGGCTGCAGACAGGACAGCAAAAGGTCCTGATGAGAAGGAGGAGGCAGCAGCCAGCGAGGTGGGATGGATGACTTCAGTCAAAGACTGGGCTGGTGTCATGATCTCTGCTCAGACACTCACTGGCAGAGTTCTGGTAGGTTTCACTTCTCCCCCTGCATAGAAATATAAAAATATCAAAATCTAAGCACAACTTTTATGGAAATGTTCAGTGCACACCAGTTGAACCTTTCCCTGTAGCAAACTGCTTTAATGCTCAGAGGGCTGCGTTTTGTGTGCAACCACAGCTCTCCGAGTGTGGCATATATTAGGAGCATTAAGAAGATGGATTAAGGAAGCTTAAAAAAAGTGTGGTTGTTGTCCAGCCTTCTTTCTGCTGCAGTGGCCCAGGTGCAGCATGCCTTAGCACCATTTTACTGCGCCTCTGTTAGCTCAACCGGTGAATGTGTTTTTATCTGTGTGGGTGTCCATGTGCATGCTTGTTGTATATGAACAGCATCCAGAATATGAAATTTTAGTGCAGTGGGTAAGAGGCTGTCACTTGCAGCACATCTCTGTTTATTGCATCATCCTCCACTAAAGAACAATTCCTGTGTATCTGCAGTTCTTTATGTGCATGTTTAACTGTTCTTCTGATATGTAGTTCATTCCTTTATTGCTTACTTTTGAATAATGCAGCCAAACCATGAGTAATTTTATTTATTTATTGTTGGAAAAAATGCTGCTGTTTGTAGTTTTTTTCAACTTGTGCATGTGCATGTCCATGTGCAACAATGGGATGACTAGAATATTACGTGCAGCTGGCACTTGAACACAGTTTGTAACGTGTCCCTCTCATGGTTTAGCAGGATACGGGTCATTTCTTGCTGCCCTGACCTCTGAACAGTTATCTATAGCCTTTTGGTGTCTGTTGCAGCTAGCCTCATTCAGTTACCTCTGAATAATGAAAAAGTTTACAATGTCTGATTACAGCAGGAATACATTAAGCATAAAGCCTGAATAAAATGGAAATGATGGGATGTAGAAAGTGTAAAATCAGCACTAATGCACTTTTTTTCTCTCTTTGAAACTTAGAAAACTGTGGGAAATTGTATAAGAATATGCAGTGTATGCATATCCATCAATTTATTGTTTGCATTGTTGTACTTTATGCAAACCCTGAACATTTAAAGGCTTATATCCATTCTTTGTTCGTTTTTACATTTTTATCGGTAATCTTAGTTGGTTTGTTTTGCACAGTGGAGTGAATGAAATCGTTGTGGGAGTAAGACGAGAATAAATCCAAACTAAATACAAACGCTGTCATTGTTGCTGCTCGCTGGAATGTTCCTCACGCCTGGATGAGGATAGTTTGGACTTGGAGTTTGGAGAAGAAGATGAAAAATCCTGAAGGGAGCTGTCAATTTGCTAAATGAGCCTCTCTTTCATCACTTTCCCACTCTCACAGCTCTGCTGGCATGGACACAGCTCCCTTCTCCTTTCATCTTCAGCTCTGACTGAGCACTCTCAATCTGCCCTGTATGTACGCTCCTGTGTGCTGTAAGCGCGGGTGAGGGAGTTTTAGTAAAGCCGGCAGAAGCAGATGGGCAAACTGAAAGAAATGTTTGTTACAGTCAAGGAGAAATGAGGCACTGGCTGCTTTTAAGGGGTTTCTGGGCTCAGAGGTATCCCAGAGTATCGCCTACTGTGATTTGTGCTACTTCTAGTGGAGCTGATAATTCTGCCCAGCAGGCTGTTTACTTACGTCCTCACTCTTAATGATATGCAGCACAATCCTGCAAGTAGCAAGAGCTTAGTGAAGGTGAGTGACTAGCTCATCATGTGGGTGGAATCTGTACATCTGTGGGCTCTTGTTTTCCTCAGATACTATACTGTAAAAGCATGATCTGTCATGTGAATGTGTGAATGTATGTACCATGTGTGTGTGTGTTTGTGTGTGTGTGTGTGTGCGCGCACTTGTGGGTGGTTAGGTGATTTTGTGGAGCTTTTGCTCCTCTATCAGTGCTTCTCTGCAGATTGGAAATTGCAAGAAGTATTCGTGTACACAGAACCTGGCTGGTAACCATAGCAACTGCTGTGTAGTGGTGCTCAGTCATCTGACATTAGTGGCTTGTCTGTATGACAAACAAACGGGTGGAAAAAAAAGGTTCACTTACATAACATAAACTTTTATTCAAGGGGAACCTCATACACAAAAGGCTCCTCACCAAGTAAAGTTAGTAAAGAACATATTTCAGTTGGCTGCTAAGAAACTGTTGGACTTAAAATGGGCCTGTTGTAGAAATAACTTGGCATAAATGATTCTTCCCTCCTTTTTTGTCTTAACCAAAGAAATTCCAGTAATTGAGCAAAAACATTTATTTTTTTTACATTAGTTTTGATAAAATAACAGGACACAAAGTGTCGCTATATTTAAAAAAAAAAACGTAAAATAATAAAAGGGGCCCAGAGAGCTGGAGAGTGGGTGGAACATTGGGTTGTGAAGGAAGAACAGTGTTGTCAACAGCGTTATGGCTATAGATAAATTATATCAACAACACATTAGCTATAACAGTCAGGGATATGTATATCCTGTTTGCCTGAAAATAAATCTGTCATAAAGGCAAAATTCAAAAGTAGTAGGACTCCCACCTAGAAGTCTTTCACTGCTTTTGGAGCTGGCCATTAAGACAATTGGCAATATTATTTAAAAATATATAATTTCCCCTATTTGTGAAATGAACTTTGTCTGACAAAACTGTCCCTGGACTGTCATGTCTGATGTGAGGATGCACAACAACTGCACCATTTAAGCTAGAAATAAGTGTAGCCATAACAATGTTGACAAACCTCCTGGCCTTCTCAATTTTAGCAGGTTTTACACCTGCCCTCCATCTACACCTTTGGGTGAGTGATGACATGATGATCATCATATGAGGGTGTACAAGGTGAAGCCGGTGCAGGTCCTCCTTCATCATGTTGACCAGCTTCACACTGCTGACCACCCCCTGGCGCAACAGTGGATGAGAAGGACATCAGGAGCTGCTCTTCCTCGCAGGTAGTGGGAAAAGAAGGGGAGAAGATCTTTCCACCTCGGTCCGCCCCAACCGAACCAGGAGACACGGACGTCAGGGAGGCCAAGGTTGTCTCCGAGGGTCTCTGCAGCTCTCTGGGCACCACACCTCACGTAGCTGTCTCCAGTGATCCAAATGGCTATGGAGAAAAAACAACAGGTTTGGCCTAGCTGTTTAAAGTACAAAACCATTCATGAAGTGGTCAAGACAGGTACTTGATACTTACACTTGCTGCTTTGTGTAGTTGATGTTGGAGACACACAAGCTGCCATGGTGACCTTTTAACAGATCTAAGAAAAAAATGTAATAAAAGAATGAAACTTAAAAACTCCCAGACCTCATTTCACGATTGCTAATCAGCTATGGCTGATTTATTGTTTGGATCACAGTGAGTTACACTAATTCTAATGTATTTTTATTTCTATTATACATACACACATTTTAAGTATTATTTTCACATGACTGTTATCAGGCTGTCTTGTTCTGGTTCTCATGATAATTCCGTTTCTTCCAGTAAGTTATCTTGTGCTTACTTCATCTGTATGTCTCTTTACTTTTGGTTAATTGTACTGAGTCCAGAATAAAGGTACTTGGCTTAACAAGATACAAACAAGTATTAAGTTTTAGAAATATATGAATTGTATTTAGCCTGCTTTTATCTCAAATACTAATAACTATCGTATTTTTCGGACTACAAGTCGCACTTTTTTTCATAGTCTGGCCGGTCCTGTGACTTATATTCTGGCGACTTGTTTACCAAATTATGTAGGCTATACCGTGCTGCTGTGGGCAGGCTCCGGACCAGGAATGAGCTCCCCTGCCCAGCTGGGAATAAACACACAGCCATCACCTACCTGCTGGAGCCTGTGGTGCACCATTACGCACCTGATCCGGCCCAGGAGGGAACTCCCCGACCCGCAGGGAACTAAAAACACACAGCCATCACCTGCTGGAGACTGTGGGAATTACGCTGTTTAAAATAACCGCGTTACTAAAAAAGTTTTTTTCAGTAACGAGCAAACTAATTAATTACCGTCTTCTTTTATCAAAACATTGTTTCTGTTACTGATAATGCGTGCGTTAAGCAGAGCGGTGTGTTGAAGCTGTCATCAGCTGATCAGGAGCTAGAGAGGCAGATGTTTTCATCCAAGCGCATCACGGCCCGTGAAGGATGAGGAAGACGGGATGAATAGTCTACGGCTGCAGACCTGAATCTGCAGCCATGACCTTCTTAACGTGACAGCGGGACTTCCCAAAGGTCCGCTCACCTGTTCACCGCTCAGACGTCCTGATCTTCTACCTTCCTAGATCATCCAGCTGTAACCTGTTTCTGATCATGTCTTTAGTCCTGCTGTAACACTGATGCATCAGTCTCACACGTCATGGAGCTCAGGTGTTATTAGAACTACCTGTGTGTGTTTACCACCCAGCTTCAGCTCTTCTGTGGTTGGGTCTGACCCACGTTAGTACATTTAAGTCCTCCATCAGATTTGTGCCTCTTCTAGTGTCATTTTAAAGGATTGTTATTTATCTATTTAACCATTATTAGATTACCAGCAACAGAAATGCTGCTAAAAACACACAATTATGTGAAGCTGGAAAAATTAAAATACTGTGCAAAATGACATTTATTTCCGTAATTTAATTATAGACTGAGAGACAATTTAAAGGCTCAGGAACCTTTACAGGTGTTTCTATTTTAAATTTAAAATTTTAGCTGATTGGGGTCTTGTTAAAAATCACACAGTGACCTTTTAATAGTCTAGATTAGCGTAATGTTCCTATTAGTAGTTCCTTCTGTTAAGTGCTTATTTATTAAATTATTCAGGTTTATAAAAAACATTTGGACATGCATTTTATTATGGTCTGGTCATTAGTCATTTATATTTCACTACTGTAGTAATTTATAGTAAATTAAGTAAATTTAATTAAGAGGGGAACCCATTTTTCTAGCATTCTTTAATGAAAAAAGTAACTGAGTAGTTATTTTCTTGGTAATTAGTTACTTTTATAATCTCGTAACTCGGTAAGTAACTGAGTTACTTTTTTGACAAAGTAATTAGTAACGATAACTAATTACTTT